GGAGAAGTAATCCGCGATGGCTTCATCTTGGTCATTTAATTTTAGAGCGAGAGTAGACGAAACCCATTCATGCAGGATCCCTTTCTACTTTGAAGTTGCAAAGCACATGCCGAAGCGACCGACAGCACTTGTTAATCTGTCACGAGCTCTTTGCGCATCCTCCATATATCCGAACAGACAGACGGTGTCCTCGGCGTACTTTTAATCACACAGCTTTTATCCAGCTGCCCATCAAATAGCTACGTTTTGTAGTCTAATTAGTGCGTTCTCCAGTGTTCCGTCAACGAGGAAACTGAATAGGAACGACGAAAGAGGGCACACTTGACGAACGGCGCTGCTAGTGATGAGCGACCTATGCATACACAACTTACAAATAATTCAATACTGCATCAGTCATCACGCAGGATAATCAGAATCGCCCCGCCCATCGCATCGCATCGACTGGGGCCGGTAGTGACAAGTGGGCTACTGCTCAGGTATCCCAACCTGTTCAATCATCGTTAGTACCTATTTTCGTGATCGTGAGGTTCATCTTTTTTATTCTCTGTGCAGTGTTATAGAAAAGTTCCTGTGTTTTCCGGTTACAGGGTAACACAGACTCATTTTCCTGTTTTTGGTTATCGATAGGATGCATTTTGGGACGGTCCACTTTTGATCTAAGTGCAGTCGTTCAGGCTAATTGTAGTTCTTTATTCCTGATGCAAAGTACCTGCTTGAGCCAGCATATGAAAGGCTTGTAAACTGTTCGTCTCCGTTCATGAACGTACTTAGAGATTATCAAAATGTCCTTGTTTTTCTCTAACGGTCAGTGTAAACAAATTGTGTAATAAGAGATTAAACTTCTCCGGTCATGGTCGTTGATTATTGTTCGCTTACTCGAGAATCAATTAATCTTCTGGTCTAATCTAACCCACTTAACTATATGTGTATCCGTTCTGAAAAGTCACAATCCAAACTTCTTTTCTATTAGATTCTTTTTCCACCGTCGGAAAATAAATAAGGCAATCCAATGAGCAGTATCTCTTTTTCTCCGGTACCAATTTTAGTCCCGAAGTTTTATAGATTTCAGATTCGGTAGTAGTTGAAACAAAAGTTTTAGTGATTGGACCATTTAGTGTTATCGTCTTCTTCATTAGACACTGGAAAACATCCGTGGACTGCATCAAGAAGTCAGTTTGTCAAAGAAACTTGATTTGTGTTTATTGGATTATCGTAACTGTCAGATTGTTTGTATTCGTGGGTGTCAAGGTTGATTGCTTTGAACATCTTTTCTTGACTATTTGGGATGTGAAAGGACCGCAGCCACGACTTAGTCATCGATTCGGAAGATTATTGATTACAACATGAAAATTACTACTGTCCGTTATAGAACAATTGTATCTCAGTGGCTTTCCGCCGCATCCGAAGTGCCACCACCGTTCGAATATCCAGGCCTTTACTGAGTGAAACATATGTATCGTGAGCTGAAATAGTGTTTTTGCACTGGCCTTTTTGATTTTGGAATAATTTCACCCAATTTCAAGTTTTTTACTATATGGTTTCCTCTGTTTCCATGTGCTCCGTTTAGTACAATGTGGACGCCTTGGTCGAGGCAGACGGAGTTCGTGTCCTGGTCGATTTGGCCTGTCTGGCACATTTGCACACGACCCGGGCAGCCACACCATTGCAGACCAATGTGATCAAAGCGAGCGCGTCACAGGATGCGCACGAGGGCGGTGCAAGCACACAACGTGAATGGTGGTGGTACGCACCAGATCCGACCGCTAGTGCCGGATCCAAATCCGGTCCCAAGATTCTTGGCCCAGTCAGCTTTAACGAGGTCAGTTTTCCAACACCGTCCCACCATGCAGATCCACCCCGCTGCACATTATTCCCGATTGTGATTAACCGTCTGTTTGATACCCAGTTGGTGTCCGCCTTGTGCGAGCGCAATGTTTTAATTCCATCTCACATCTAAGACTTACGTGGACAGTCAGTGCAAACCCATATCACTTCGGTATTTCATAGGAGGTGAAATTGTAACAGATTTTATTATCTGCTCGTTGATACCTCTTTGATTCATGGTCCACTTTTCTCACGTCCCATCGAATCGAGTCCTTGAATACTTCTACTATTCTGTAATAAGTGGTCAGATACGGAATGTTTATGATCGGGACAACCAGTGGAGGAGGTTCGTTCTAGAGTGTGGTGGAATAACCACAACAAGCTTGTGAAGATGGAATGTGTCACACAAAGTGTATAGACAAATGAGGCAGTTTTGATCAGCTTTGATTAAGTAGGGTAGTCAACCTGTGTTCTATCGGTTAGTTCCCGCGGTTTGATCCTCAGTGCGGTCCATGGCGCTCCGTAGTTCTGATCAGACTGGACAAGATTGAAACAGCTACATAATGCTTTCGCGATGTCCAGCTCACGTTTCCATTGGACTTTATATGACCAAATACACGATATAATATTCCCATTTGTTTGATTTTTTTTAAATTATTTCAACACGTAACCAAATACACCGAACTGGTATATGTACCCAAAATAAGAACAATTAGTCCATAGTATGTGTTCGTATGATATGTGACCATGTTATTTTCCGGCTGTCCTGACCGAGGAAGAGGAATAACCTCGGGGTCCCCACTCGAAGCCTTTGGTTGGAGAGTCACATTTGCAAGACAACAGGACGGAGAGCTCACAGTCCACGGGGGCCCATGTCCAGTTTATCGGATCATACATCCCTTGCAATGAGGTTAAACATCCAAAATGCCCAATAGAACCAGTGACCACATCCACAATCAGAAAGGTGTGGATATTTTTTGCACGCCTCTTCTTGGTTGGTTTGGAATCAGGGTGAACTGCCACCGACCCGGTTATAGCCCCCAGATATTGACTTATCGTCCTCTCAATTTATGGGGAAACACCTGCTCCCCAGTAGGGAAGAAGTTAGTGAGTAGGAATTCCGCCGCAGAGGCCATTTGAGACACTTGATTTATATAGGAGCATTTCACGAGGTTTTAAGGAGATGATGACCAGTCACAACCCGAGACATCCACTCGCGACCATACTGAGGCTTTCGGAGGCATCATAGTGTCTACATGACCGTGAGCCTATCGGCTGCAAATGTTGGATGACAGTGTCCAGATTCACACGTCAATACTCATTTACCGGTGTCCACCGTATGCATGATTTTCACATCGTTACTCTCTCTCCTCTTTTCGGTCACTCGTTCCTTCCTACTTTTTTTTGGTGAAAGTAGTTGCCACAACTAAACCATCATAGCAAGTTGACTAGTTGAAGTCTACTGTAGTTGTGTGGGTGATTAATGTGAACATGTGTAAAGCATAAGGCAACACGGTTTTGCTATCCTTTCATGTGATTGGGTAGAGGAATTAGTTTGTGTTATGTCCGTGTTGGCTCGGCCTGGTTTCCTTATTTAGAAAATATTTGGTTGCCCACACGCCTAGGTTTCCCCCAATTGATTTATTCCTCACTTGCGAACTTCGGTTCTCATTGCAACATTGATCCCGATTCCCCATCAGCTACGTAAACTTATTGTCTCGGGCCAGATCAATGGTAACACTCCAGTTTATGCACAAGGACTGGACGCAGCGGCTCGTTGTCGTCCGGACGGATTCCTGGCGGATGATGAAGATGATGGTGATATGGATCAGGTCGCTATGACCAATTCCACGGTTGCAGATGGGGATACGGTGAGCAGTACATCCAACGGGGTCACAAACGGTTCTGGAACGGCCCAGAAACCGGGCAGTCGTGCCATGTCCGGTTGGGTTCCCGCTCGACGTGTTGTTCAGCTTCGCTGGACGACACCGGAATTGATCAGTCCGAGTGGGACTGTGCCTACCGTTTCCAGTTCAGCCACATCAAATCGACCAAACTCAACATCTACCCTGTCTGCACCGAAAAGCGGTGAGGCGGTTAGTACTGGTACTGAGGGTGTGGGAAGTTTGGTGGATCAGTTGGGCTACAGTCAGGGTGCATTGCTAGACTATACCACATTGGCTATACGATGCGTGGAAGTGCTTCGGAAATTGTGTGATAGTTGTTCGTCCCGGGACGCGCACGGGGGTGTTGTACGACCCCTACCCAAACCCAGACGAGTGATCAGTGACCCTGCACTCCTCAATCATATTGTCCAGGTAGGTAATTTAATTCTCTCTCCGATGCTGGTATATTCATCATGTCATTTCATTACGCACCTGATTGTGGAGAGTGTGTGAAGAGCTAGGCTGTCCTCAAATACAATGTTTGTTTGGTCTTCAGTCCTATTTAATATCGCCATAGTACTTATTAATGCCGTCAGCATAACTTGTTCTCACATGCGACTCATTTGTTTATACTTGTCTCTCAAAAGGGCACAATAGCCTGGCTCATCTGTTGCCACTTCCTCCGGATCTTCACAGCCTATTATTTGTCTACGATCATCTGGAATTCAAGCAGATGTTCAATCAGGCCTCGAAATATCCAGCGGGGTGGGGGTGGGGGGTTCGATTCACAACCAGTCACCTTTTCCACGTACGATTTTCATTTGGACGTTAACGAAACCTTTATTTGCCAGTTGTAATCTGATGCTTGTTACGACAAATTCGGAGCATCAGAAAGCGAACCAGGCGCCAAAGACGAATACCCCGTTTGCTCACCACGATTGTCTGTCTCTCGGTGGAGTAGGGCTTCAAAATCATCCGGGACTTGTATTTCATCGTGAGGGCATTTGTGGTTACAAGAGAAATGATTGAAATAAAGCTTGGTTGCAGAACCGATAACCAAAGGACTCCAACTTTTCCCTCATCTTTGAAACCGCACCCCCCCCCCT